AAAATATAAAAATATTTTGTCGTGGATATATGACACTCAGATTTTTGTTGATTTTAACAATTTTTTCTCGTGATATTGCTCACCCCTCCTCCCTTTGGACAAGGATTTATAGGGCACTTTCGACTTGAAATTGTTCAAGGGATATGCCCTGCTCAAATTAAGGGAGTCAAGTCCCGGACACCAACATCTATATCTAGAATTTCCTTTATTTCCAATTATTCATATACAGGGTGCTATTCAAGTATGTGAGCAACCTTCAAGAGTTGATTTTTCGAGTGATTCCAAGTCGAAAAGTGCATGTAAACATTGGTCTGTAAATACACCGTATTCAATATAGATTTGAAAAATAATCGTTTTTCTGTAAATATCGCAATATTCTAAATTGTTTTGTTGTTGTTGTTCTAAAATTGTTCTATCCGTCATTCGGTTGCCCCCTTACGAGCAACCCTCAGAAGTCTTCGAAAGTCTTGTGCGAGCAAAAGGAATGACGGGGGCCTTACCTTTTTTAACGTGTGATCCCAAACACTTTCTTAGGCCATCAGAAAAAGTCTGCGTTCGTGGGTCTCGAACCCACGATCGATACCTCGACGTGAATCGATATTGAAGCATCGAAGCACTGAGGTACGCCAGCTGATCCAATTTTGTTAGAATATTGCAGTGTTATTAGTAGTAGTATCTTTGAAATTAGGCATTTTCGGAACTATGGTCACATGAACTTTTCGGCTTAGAATCACTAAAAAATCGCCCCTTGAAGTTCAGCCACATACCTGAATCACACCTTGTATTTGTGAAATTCTATGATTCAAGATTTTCTAATATGATTCTGCCATTTCGAATTCACATTATAAGTATTCTGATTAATGGAGTATGGACGAATTCACACAATCAGCCAAGTGTGGAAATTTCCGCGCTTGTAGACATAAACCTAACATTATTGTGCTCGTGTACCAACTTAATACTTCAATAAATACCATTAACACTTTCATAGTGGCAATATAAAATGCACCTAACTTTGATTATTACTGAAACAAAATAACCTTGTCAATGTTTAACTTCCATTATTATACTTCACTTACAAAAAAATACTCTCGCATTTACGTTCAATGTTCTACGTGATGTGCTTGAGAATGCAACTGAACAATATTCTACATAATTGCAGAATCAAAGCGTTAGGGCGAATACTCTAAACTCGGTTCACCCTTGAATCAATGAGCTCCATTAATATAATCCTGAAGCTCGTATTGAACTGCATCGGGATAATAGTACTGAGAAATACATACAATGTGAAGATCAACATGATCAAGTTTGAGTGCAACAGAATGATTTAAAAGAACCAGTGTGAAAAGAATGATTCTGGAAACAAAAATGTCGTGAATGAAATATCTGAAAAAACTTCCGACATTTTACGTAGATCAACGAGAATTATGAAAGCAACTGATAGATATATGAGTTATTTTCTTTAGGAAAGCAGATGAGGTTATAATATTATAATTTTATGTAATATCCTGTGAATAAAGTTGATTGTAACGAACTTTCAATACATGTAGAAACAATAGAGTACTTAAGGATGAGTACGTATAGGTTGTTGACTGACTGTCAGCTTACTGTCGAATTATTCTGAGATTTGTCATATTAGTCCACTTGATGAAGGAGTTGTAGGGTGCGTGAGCAGGGACCTAAACGATCTCTTCAGAAACATGTTCTGGGAGTTTAGAAAGTTAACATACTGAAAGTCCTGATGACGTCTAGGAAGTTAGCCGGTGCAGGGGGGCCGTAAGAAGGTTCTGCTAGAGAGTTTGGAACCGAAAGACGTTGATGTGATGTGGTTCAAGGTAATCGATACCAAACTGACCAAATTTATCTGCTCCCTTTACCTATCGCCTAATGATAATGAATATAACAACCTCTTTGAGTTTTTATCACTCAAACTGGACATCATTCAGGAAAACCATCCAACAGCCGAAATTATAATCATGGGAGACTTCAAAGTACACAACGCAGCCTGGCTCAAATTTTTTAACAAAACAGATGATGCAGGTCGTCAAACTGAGGCCTTCGCCATCACTCATGGTCTAGAACAACTAGTCGAACAACCAACCCGCATTCCAGATGTCAACAACCAGTCTGCCAATACAGTAGATCTTTTTCTGTGCCCCACTTGGAAACTCTGACCACACCCTCATCTCCACAACCTGCTCTTTCCATGTACCATCCAACACCACAATTCCTACCCGTCTCATGTGGCATTACAATTCGGCCGACTGGGAAGGTCTTCGTATGTTTTTTTTGGCGTTTCCATGGAAGAGAGTTTGTTTCTCCTCAGCAGATTCAACACGATGGCAGAAAAATCCAGGCCTTGAGACTATAGAGCAGAATATGTCGAGGCTAGAGGCATATGCATTGAAACAATCATCAAAGGATGCTCATAATGCCAAAATAAGATCAAAACTTGTTGAATGTCCTAATGGATCCCGCTCATTTTGGTCCCTTGCCAAAGCTGTAGGAAGAAACTTCACTTCCAGCTCGTTTCCTCCTCTAACCAAGGGAGATGAAACACCTGCCACAACTGCCCAGGAGGAAATTCCACTCTGGATTCATCAGGAAAACAACCTCCAAACATAACGCCAATTGACAGTCATATGCCCGAGATCACCTTTCGCCAAGGTACTATGAGGAAGATTTCATTGGGTCTCAACACCAACAAAGCTTATGGCTCCGACGGAATCCCACCGATTGTCCTCAAGAAATGTGCTCCCGAACTAACACCTGTTCTCTGCAAGTTGTTCAACTACTCTTACAAATTGGGGATATTCCCGTCCAACTGAAATTGCAAGAGTACAACCAGTTCCTAAAAAAGGCAAAAAGACCCTACCTAGCAACTACAGACCGATCGCACTGCTTTCTATTATTTCGAAGATCACGGAGAAAGCTATCAACATCGAGCTCATGAACATTCAGGTATTATCAGCGATAGGCAATATGGCTTCCGTCACCAGAGATCAACTGGTGACCTGCTCGCTTACGTCTCACGTATATGGCAGAATCTATTGAAAAATATGGTGAAACCATAGCCATCGCACTTGATATCTTCAAAGCATTCGATCGAGTCTGGCACCACGGACTCCTCGCAAAGCTTCCATCTCATGGCTTGCCTGCCAGTTATGTTCTCTGCTACCTAGTTTTATCTCAAACAGGTCTTTCCATGTAGTGGTCGACGGAGTTTCATCTGACTCTCTTACCATAAATGCTGGTGTTTCGCAAGGATAAATTCTAGCACCAACACTGGCAACACTATTTCTACTCCATATCAACGATTTGTTGGAAGCAACTCCATGTCCAGTACACAGCATCGCGGATGATAGTACCCTCCATACCGCCTTCTCTTCCAAGGCTCCAATACCAGCCAGGCAAATCAGAAACGAACGAGGGAGAAATGCTGACAACATAAATATGGACTTGGCAACAATTCTTGAATGGGGATTTGATAACTTGGGAGATTTCAATGCGAACAAATCACAAGCATGCTTTTTCTCTAGAAAAGCCGATCTCACTGTGCCAAACATAAGTATGTCAGGACTAACCATACCTTTGAAGACATCCATTTCGATGCTTGATATTACTATCAGCGATAACCTTTCTTGGGAAAATCACGTGAGATCAATTGCGAAAAGTTCATCCAAAAAACTTGGTTTTCTGTTTCGGGCCAGGAGCTTTTTCACTTCCAGTCAGCTGCTTATAATTTGTAAGGAACAGATCCGACCTGTCCTGGGATACTGTTCCCATATTTGGAGAGCAGCACCCAAACATACCCTGAAACTGTTGTATCATGTCCAAAAAAGGGCAATTCGTCTCGTGGGTGATGCCTTGCTCATTTTTGCACCGGTTTTCTTCAGCATATACCAATCTCGTCAGATATTCGATGATTTGCGGCAATCCGTGCACAATATTCGCGGAGTTGCCGTCCTGCTTCAGCTCCCAATTCATCCACATTCTCAGCCTAGCATCCATCAGATTCCAAAACTCTTCATTGCTCAACACACATACTAAATAATGCTGTAGAAGGGTAAAACATAACTACCCAAGGTACCCTAGTCGGATATTCACCAATCTTCAACTTGTCTTGGATGATATCCTCTCCTCTCTTCATTTCCCAATCCATCCTATCGGCATTCCTTGACAAACTTCTCTTTTCCCCAACCTCACCATCAATTGGTATGGGTAGGACAGACTGCGGCCGCTCGTCAGATGAAGCATTTTGAGACCGTCCTTGCTATCTCTGGGCCAGACAGGACAATTATTTGTGGATATCTATGGTGGGGATGTGGCGATTTGCTGATATCTGTCTAGGTGGCTAAGGACTGGTCAACGAGGCTCTGGCAACCTGATCCAAGCTGTCGAAACCCGTGGCGATGGATGAATGGCACCGAGGGCGACATCTCAGAGTAAACAGCCTCAGCACAGGGCTGGACCAGCTCCTTTTCTCGTCACTTGTAGGAGGAGGAAAACTTTCGGCGTTCTTCATAGACAAGAACAGGGATCGGAAGAGTTGTCTCCAGAAACCTGAACCAAAAGGATGTTTCATATCGAAGTGGCCCTTAATGAGCAACATGATTCGTATATGGTAAAATTGATAGCGGCCTGTAGGTAAGATACAATGGGTCACTAGACCTGAGTGTCGTCGGAGACATCAGTCAGACAAGCCTACAAACGGGATGGAGTGTTTAGTGGGCATACTCTGGAGTCAGGGGACTCCTACACTATCAAATAGGGTATTAGACCCAAATAATGTCTATAAAAGATTTCAACCACCTCGACGAGGAAGAAAAATAACTACCTATATCCACTTCAACGTATTCACAGACAAGCAAAAACCTGCACATTTTTTCCTTACATGTAGGAATGAGACTCACGTGGATGGATTTAGATCACTGATTCAATTGAGTTTCTTAGTACTTAAATGAAACGAAATCATTATCCGGATTACAGGAGCATCCGGATTATCACGGGGTCGGATTCTCGCGACTATACTGTTCCATGAATGGTTCCAATACCAACCTCGTGAGATATTCGATGATTTGCGGCACTCCGTGCACCATATTCGCCGAGTTGCCGTCCTGCTTCAACTCCCCATTGACCCACGTCCTCAGCCTGACGTCCCTCAGATCGCCAAACTCCTCTTTCGTGACTACGCACGGTCCCAGCGGGCAGAACGCGTCGAAGTTCTTCGACATGACCAGCTGGCCGCCATTTCGTGCCGCCCAGTCTTTGGCAGTGAGGTCCTGGGTGGCCGTGAAGCCGAACACGTGGTCCATGGCGTCGGCGGCTGTCACTTGTCGCGCTGTTTTGCCGATGACAGCGACGATCTCCACTTCCCAGTCGAGAGCCTGGAAGATAAGAAGTGGGCATTTTTAATCGTGAGGCGAAAAGTTTGTACAATTCGCTGATGTGGGCTTGACTATTTCACTGATCACATAATCTGATCAAACACAAGCCAGAGACAACGTGTTCTTTTCGCGAAAACATTAGCTATCTTTCAATTCTGATAGGTGTATCAGCGTTGATGTTTTCAACGATGTAACTAGATGTATCCATAGCGAAACAAAGTCTGCATGGAACCATGGATAGTGAAGCAAAGTCTGTCATTATTCTAGGTTTGTTGGGATTTTCTCTCCTCGTTGCTATAAAGTAAAAATATGAATAATATTTCAATATACGTGTAGTAAGGACAAATCAGATGATTTGTCCCAAAATATCACTGCGTTTGAATAATTTTCCTATCTGAGAACCTAAAAGAAAAATTCACTAGCTTGTCAGTGACAATTTGTATTGAAAAAGGTTTGGAGAAGAGAAATAAAGGTAGGTATATGGAAAAAATATAAAATTTTTAGGTATCTTTGGACGTTTCGGGAACGAATCTGATCCCGTTTTCAACATGAAAAATTGAATTTCTGTATTGCAAAGGAAAGACGAATCCTAAACCTCTTAGTTTTTGAGCTTCAAGATGTTAAAATCATAGGCGTACAGTTTTTTCAAATGAAAACATTCAATATCAGGCCTACGTGAACATCACTGGTCAAAATAGTAAATTGATTTTTGTCCCAAAACAAAATGTGTTTCCACTCATAGTGCCTGCTAAATTTCAACAAAATACCAGAAACAATATGAATAAACTGAAGAAGTAAAATGTTTAAAACGGTATTTCGTGAGTGTAGGAACTAGTGTTGCCATCTAGACAAGACAAGACAAGAGTTTACCTACTCTTGTCTTGTCTTGAAATTTCAAGACAAGAGTTGTATACGCGTAAGTCTTGATTAAATAAGCTAAGTGCGGTCTTGTCTAGATAACGAAAGTCTAGATTATTATTCAAGACTCTAGATAAGACGCTTAGCTTAAATTGCGTAGAAACAGTCAAGTGCATGCAAACTCCCGTTCTCTGGGAACCAATCAAAACAAATCATAGCCGCGCCAGCGAAACGACGTATTTGTAATATAGATTTGAAAATAATCAAGAGTTTTGAATAAAAGTGTTGTATGGAAAATGAAAAGTCTTGTCTTGTCTAGATAATCTAGACAAGACATATTGATGATCTTGTCTCGATATTCTAGACAAGACAAGACAAGAGTCTAGAATGTATAAGTCTAGACGGCAACACTGGTAGGAACCAAATTTACTCCAAAATGAATAGGGATTCCGAAAATAATTTTGGTTTTCAGAAAACTCAGTGGCGTATCATTTTTTTCTTAAAATATTTTCTGTTCGAACCCTGTTCGGTCGTCACTATTGAAAATTTCAAAAATCTGTCATGTCGAATTTCATGTCAAAGGTATGTACTGAATCTAATATTACTATCTAAAAGTAATAAAAAATTATGATGTAAAACTCACTTCTTTCTTCAAACTTTTACAGCCTCTAGCTCAAAAACTAATAGGTTTAGGACATACCTATATTGATATAAAGTTTTCTCTTAAAAATCACCCGTGAATTCACACCTTGCATTATCGGCACTGAATTGATCAACACACTGTATATTTGTTTGTATATTTTTATGTCGCTCACTATATTTGGTTTCTTACAAACCTGTTTTCATGTTTTTTTTTGTTGACTTTTCACTTTTCATGCTTTTTATCGAGCTTTTTATATGCTATAATGAAAATGGTCTATCAGATGGATACATATTCCATTCTATACTAGAATAGTCAATGGATATCATGAAATTAAATACTTGATGATCACTTTGACATTTTCAAGTACGCTATATTCTGTCGTATGAAGAAAACTTCGAAATATCAAACATCAAAATAAAAAAAAATATTGTACGTAACACGTTAGGAAACGCAATTTTGAGTAACTCCGTAAAAATTTCATTGTTACACAAAACAAAACGTTTCCTTTTTTTCATGTTCTGGTTCCCACGAAAAGGGATATCCTGTAATGTTCAGAGAACATCGTGAGAACCAAGGGAAGTAAAGTAGGAAATTGGTGCTCTTCTTGAATTTCTGGTGGTTACATGCCTCGGGGAACACCTCCCTTGGCAATGTATTCCAGAGCCTCGCTGTTCGTTGAATGAACGAGTCTTTGGAAAGAGATCAGGTTCTCCAAAGTGACCACGAAGGGATGCGAAGCCTCAACTCGACGGGTTAATCTCGCGGGGACTGCCAAGGGAGGAATAATTGTTGATATTTTAGAAGAGCATCGTCCATGAAAATATCTATAAAATTGAGCCAGATCGCCAACTTTTCTACGGTGTTCCAGAGAAGTGAGTGAGTTTGTGAGCGATGCATCACCCACCAGCCGAATTGCCCTTTTTTGGACAAAATCCAACAGTTTCAGGGTATGTTTGGGTGCTGCACTCCAAATATGGAAACAGTATTCCAGGACAGGTCGGATCTGTGCCTCATAGATCATAAGCAGCTGACTCAAAGTGAAATAGCTCCTGGCCCTAAACAGAAAACCAAGTTTTTGAGATGCACTTTTATCAATTGATCTCACGTGATTTTCCCAAGAAAGGTTTTTTCTGATAGTAATGCCAAGCATCGAAATGGATGTCTTCGAAGGTATGGTTACTCCTGACAAGCTTATGTTGGGCACAGTGAGATCGGCTTTTCTAGAGAAAAGGCATGCTTGTGTTCTGCTAATGCTTGCTTTCCTAACTGGTTACGTAAAAATATTCAGTTCTGCAATAAAATTACACTCTTCCTTTCAACAAGCTATAATTTCTCCATATTTTTCATCAAGTCGTTGCTATTGCCACATAAGATGTCTGAAAAATATTGAACTGGAATATTATTTCGGCAACAATGAGGGGAGAAACCATTGTATCTGAATAAGGATTTTTTTCTCCATATTTAGCAGACAATGGGAGAAACAGTACCGATTATCTCCATCTCTTCTGAAATATGAGAAATAAAAAGTTGATTGTAGTGTAAATCCTTCCCATCAGAGTGATTTTCTGATGATATTATTCTCTCATAGAGCGAGTTTGGTCCATAAATGCCTGCATTTTCATAGGAATCAATGTGAATCAACATCGGCTCCCAGAACTCAAACTCCGGCTGAGTGTCACTTCCATTTGGGCACGATAATAGACTTACTCGAGATGCAGTTCAGTAATGCCCTAGTTAATCCATCTAAATTCATAAGAATACCATTATCCATGAGATCAATATCAATATTATCCTGACAGTAACACTTCTCGAGCCTGACTCGAAATTGAATCATTAATTATGCTCCGTTCACGGTTCTACTCTTGTTAGTTCAAAGCTTCTTCGATCCTCTTCCGGAAAACTCCGGGGCGTTCATAGGGTGGAATTAAATGCCTGAACCGCCCTTCAACAGTGTTCAAATAACTCGATCATTCGCGATAAGAGGATAGGAGGGACCTTCAGGCGTTTCGCATTATCGGAATAAAAAGTAATTATGAAATACGCACTCGTTTTTTTTTTTAATTTCATGATAACGAGTAATTGTAATATTCGTGTTCTCGGAAAAATTTCCGGATATTAATTGAAGCTGAAGTGGTATTCGATAAGAAAATTTCACACTGAAATATTATTAAAAAAATACTATTCAGTATATCCATGAAATTTGCACGCATAATATTATTAGGTTGAATAAAATATAATTGAGCGACTTTAGTTGAATAACATAAAGAAAAATAGGTCAGTAGAAAATCAATCTTTCAGTTTTTTACAAACTTATTCAACTGAAATTGGTAGAAAATAATGAAAAAGGTGCCTTATAATAATGATAGATAATAATATAAAAATAGTATAATAATAAGTTCCCTATTATTTCCAGGAGACCTAATATCTTATTTATCCACTTCTTTAGCTGAATAAAAGTTCTACAGAAAAGTCAATAATGGTTTTATATATCTATTTTTCATTAATCTAATCTACTATAGTCGTAGCAACATTGGTTTCTTCTAAAACGAGTATACATATACAGATAATCAATCAGTTCATTGTAATATCTCTGTTAAACGTACAGAAAGCCATGGAATTCATGTCAAACCTAGTAGGTAAATCTATTTTTTGAGGTTAACTGAGTGTTAATTACCCGAATAAATTCGTTGTGTTGTAGAGTTTGTAGAGATGAAGCTATTCGCGAAATACGGTTTATGCAAGTTTTGTAATGAAGTTAGTGACATTAAAAAGTATCATCGGAATCTAAAATGTTTAGTTATTTAGTAGAAGATTGCGGGCCACAAATTCATTCACCGAATTTGTTCTGGATTATCAAATATTATTTGCTTCTGGTGTGTGAAAAATATGAAGCTCCTCGTGGATTACAGCAGAATGAGATTGTTTCAAAATACTACATATATTTCATGAAACATAGACATTTTATACGTTCTATATAGTGAATGTTCCCTCTTATATTCTCCATTGAAGAAAGAAGACGTAGCTAAGGAATTTCAACAACACTTAGATGATTTAGTTGAAAATTATGGTTGTTTGTGATGAAATGTAAGAACTAACGTATAGTAACAACATGTGTTTTTGTAAATTTCTAATTTGCAAATTGACATATAGAATGAACTCGAAAATCTGAAGTTGAATGTAAATGTCATTTAACCCATAAACGTCAAAAAATTCCTAGTGTAATTTCATTCTCCGTCGCCCAAGGAGGAGGAAAAGATTTCCAAGGAATGTGTTTAGTTGCTATGGTAACGATACGAAATACACAGGCTTCAAATTGATCGAAAATGTTTGGTGTGAAATTTTCAGGACAATTTTATCGACACGAATTGTATTTAACATGAGAATTCCACAATTTGTGATCTTTTTCTTTTTTAATAATTGAAACTAACATTTATTTCAATTCATTTAGATACATACATAGATAATTACAAATCATTACAATTGAAATTCTGAACATTAAAAGAACAGTTCTGAAATATTGTATTTAACATGAGAATTCCACAATTTGTGCTCTTTTTCTGTTTTAATAATTGGAACTAGAATTTATTTCAATTCATTTAGATACATACATAGATAATTACAATTCATTACAATTGAAATTCTGAACATCAAAAGAACAGTTCTGAAATACTATTTTTGAATTTGTTTGCTCATTGTTCGTCTCATTAGAGCTGTTACAAAAGTAAACGTTTTTGCTGGCATCGCTGAATGTAGAACTGGAACTCGCTCTCATTTTTGTTAGGATCTCAGAGTGTATTTTTGGGTGCATTCAAAACCAAGAACAATAACATCATGTTTATGCCGAAGAATCACGAAAAAAATCAGAAATATTACTGGCTATACTGGATTATTTTTCGCCATTGCATGAAAAAATTGTATACTTCGACAGGTAAGAGACGAGAGCTACAAAACATTCTTCACTTACTCTTTTATCATAGCCAACTAATATAGTTAGGTCCACAGCTTTCATAATCAATGAAACTAGTGTGTGACGAAACACTTTGTCAGCAACATGGTAGTTATAAAAATTTGCGATATGGAAAATGTTGTAACTTATTCTTGCAAGGCCTATTGATAAGTACCATATCTAAAACACTGAAGATTATCTGAATACAGAGCGGTTACTCATAATATCGTACAAGTAATATGCATGTTTGAAATGCTCTGAGAATTTATGCTTGAATATTGAAAAATATTCAAAGTGTTTTATATTTGAGAAGCATAATATTGTATCATACCTAAAGAATGGCAGCTAATTTCGAATATCTGACCACGCTACTTTTCACTCTTCCTATAAGTGGATTGATAGCTGAGATACAGGGATAATCTCTATCTTCGAAAATGAGTAAGATATTTTGTGTAGTCATGCATACATTCGACTCACATTTGTATTTTCTGATTTTGGAATAGCGTCATTTGGTCCAGTGATAACTGATGCGAATTTGCTGAATACAATTGGCTCCTTGGGATGAGGAATATTCCTCCTGTTGCAGTCATCCTTGTAGTTAGTTGCTACCCCAAGAACTTTGTCAGGCTTCGTGATAGGAGCCAGAAGTCTGACTTGTGAGAGTTGGTGAACTTGTTTTGGATTTGCAGCAATTCTGAAATCGACCCAAAGATGTAATATGGATTGTGCATTATTCCTTCAGATTGAAAGTGTTCGATTGAGTTTCATTATATGTAATTCCACAAGTTGTATTTGTGTGGAATATTAGTTTTTTTGGCTAGTAGAGTGCCTAGAACTGTTGATCTCACGTCCTTTAAAGAGTGAGGACACGTTTATCACCACTGAAATTTCCGAATTGTCATTATTCTCAGATATAAATCGTCAATTCTGAAAATTGAATTGGCGTCCCCGCGAAATTGTTTTCGAATATGTCTTGTCACGAAATTCAAGAATTCTTATAATGATAGTTACCATTCATTTGAGTTGCCCATAGAAAAGACGAGAAGACATTTCAAATGTTACCCTAATAGCATACTGAAGTCACATGGATGTCCATAGGACATCCCGCCGGAACATTCGGGACGTCCATGGGACATGCGTTCTTGGTACCGCGAGGATCCATAGTACGTCCGTGGGAAGTACAAATGTCTCGACTTCTCACCAAAAGAGGATATCCCTCAAGGATATACCTACATTGGTCCTCTTTGGGAAATTATCGTCCTTTCGATAATTTCATTGAACATTCTGTTTTCGTACCGAGGTCATTCATAGGACATCCTCCGAAACGTCCTCTGGAACGTCCATGAGACGTCCTCTAGAACTATCATAGAACGTCCCTGGAACTTCCATAGGATGTCACCTAGAATGTTCATAGGATGCCCATGCACGTAGGAATCAATCTTGACTTTGAATTTATTTGAGTCTCCCTAGGACCAGAGATCTTGCATAACAGATAAGAACATCCAGATGAGTTGATGGTCCGTAGAAGGTCCTCAATAAATTCTGAAGAAGGTTCCCAAGGATGTCCAATGGACTTGTGTGAATGATATTGACGTGATGAACTTGTGGATTATGAAATGGTAGTTGGATTGTATTATCCATAGAGAAAGAAGTCAGATATTATCAACAGAAATATCACGATATTCTGAATATTCTCTATAATTCTGTCACGATATTGTGTTGCCGAGCAACACAACACGAGTCCGTCGGGCCAAGTGGTATTGCTGTACGGCGACACAATTGAGTCAAAAATGAGACAGAATCATGAAAAGATATTCAGAACAGAATTGTATTCTTCTGGACTAATCCACGAAGCATAAAAAGTATTTATTATAAATGAACAAGTCATAAAACCAGGAAAATGACAGACTTTTCTTCGCTATCCATGGTTTTCGTTACAGCGTTGGAAACATCAACGCTGATAGACCAATCAGAATCGATTTTTCGCGATAGTTTTCTTCGGGTTGCGATTCGTCAGATTATGTGAAAATTTGAAGATGAGTAAAATGGTCAAACATATCTTACTTTTCCAATTTTCCCAAAGCATCCTCGTGCTGTAAAAACTCCACTAACGAATGCGGAATACTGTTGTCACCAGCGTTGACATCTATCACTGTTTCACCGTTGAGAACACCTATTCTCACTTTGTCATCGACAGATTTGAATTGCACTACTCTCATTCTCGACAAATTCTTGCTGAAACTTTGGGAGAATCTTCTCCACGAACCCATATATACCCTATAGTATAATAATTTGGATTAGTTCCCTCAACAACTTTAATGGTATCTATAAATTATTTTGTTTAACATGTGAAATTTTATAATAATGAGATAACCGTTATCTCTGTGCCAACGTCATAAATGTTTAGATACGTTCGATTCTTTAATTAAATCTCGACTTTTGAATGCAATAATGAGATAAACTAACCTTCAAGTCCCTTTATTATCTACAAGCCGCTTGGTAACCTGCGATTCATGACTATTCCTAAATAATAATCTCAAATGGAACTGATATCAGAACAGTAAATGAAGATTCTGCTTCACTGATTACAAAGTTCAAATTATAATCAATTCTTATTTTGATTCTCCTTCTTGAAGTGGCACCAACTTATGAACGACTAGGTATTATAATTTGTATTTATTCCCTGTGAGACCAATATCATCGCATATATCCTGGAATGTATCCTGTCTGAACTACAGGGTGATGATTACATTTTTTGTCATTATTACTTTTGCTAATAACTTAATAATATCGAACAAATACTGTGTGCTGGGTTATATTATAATATATGTACAGGGTGTTTCTTAAGTACGTGTAGAAAATTCAGGAGCATGTTGCTGACCTCAAAATAAGAAGAAAAGTTCGTATAAATATATATCCGAAATTTGTTCGTCCTTGAGATACAGAGTGTCAAAGTTGAATTTTCATTTTTGTTTTTTATTAATAAATTTCAAAATAATTGTGATATTCGAATGAGATTTGGTATCTAGGGGTATTTTTCAATGACAATATCAAATTTTATGTTAGTTTGTCTCTTTCGTGGGGGTGGCGCCACCTACATGTCTTTTGAAAAATACAGGATGGTCCAAGATTCAGAATTTTGATCACCCTGTATCTGTTCCAATTGAATGTCAGTAGATAGTGAATCAAAAGTTAAGATAGGGACATGTAAGCCGTTTCGATCGATAATGAATAGTTTCGACACAAAAAATTCCTGAAATTGAAAAATCTCGATTTTGAACACCCTATATCTCTGTAATAATTCCTGCTAGACCCCAAGTGTGATACATTGATGAAATCAGCTCTTCGAGAATAATCTAAAAACGCAATGAAATACAGGGTATTCCATTCGAAATAACAAAGATGATGCTACTTTTTGGTAAAAGTGGCAACGCTGCATCGCTGAAAATATTTTGAATCGTTAGATCACAAACGCTCATTAGAGTAACCAAATTTTCAGGATAATCCAATGTACCGTTTTCCGTATACGTCTAAGGTACCATCGACCGTGGGCCACCCTGTATATTCTGCTCTTTGTCTTTTCATTTTCCCTAATGGGTTGCGTGCAAGATCTGTCTGATGAACGACCCTGGAGGTGAAACATTGAAACACAACCTCACTTTTCTTATTTGTTTTCCAAGGATTGGAATTGTTCCTCATAATAATTATTTTGGCATACGAATCTTCTTCCTCGGCTATCCATTCCATTAATCCAAGCATGCTATCACATTGTGCTGTTGTACAATGCACAAAAAATGCAGCGAGAGACGAAGGAATCCGATTTTGCAGGTATCTAGGTACCTACATTATGATTTAAAAGTACTAGTCAGTCACATATAGTTTTCTTCTTGAAATTTCGTCATTTCTTATCGGATTTCCTTCTTACATGAATGAGAGATTTATGAAGGTATTGCCCGCTTTCAAATGAGTCACTCTGTATGTACTCCGCGCACTGTTTTACTTCGCACACAGTGTCGTGGTGACGTAGGAAACTGAAAAAAGTGTAACTTCGCATATCAATCAATCAATGTGCGAACCTTGTCATTTTTTGATCGTTTTTAGAAAAAATTTGTTGACGCACCTGCGCAGTAGGTATGAATTAAAGTCGGCACTGTATTTTCCTGATCTTTGTTTTAGAATCTCGTTACTTGTTAGAATGTATGTCTATATACTTGTAGATTTCATGAGAGTCGTTTCCTCTGTATCTTATTATTTATTTCATTTTATTCATTTATTTATTGAACAAATAACTTCCAGACAGAATAGGCTCTGGTATAAGGAAGTACATAATTACATACCTATAGGTAAACATATAATTATACAAAATACATCAACAACTGTAAATTGACAAACAAAGAATAATATTTGTAAAAAAAAAATGGCATGTTCAATTTTATCCAGTTCGCTCAGAAATAATCAATTTTTTCACTTCATTTTTGAATGAACCTCGTCAAGATGAAACAAATTATGTTGTCTTGTTTCATGATTATGAATTTCAGAATTCCGTATCAACATGAAATTCGACTTCAATTTTTCATTTATGATATTATATGATATTTTGAGAGTTTCAATCCTATATATTTCATCTAAAGAATACGTATTTGTTATTTCAAACAATTGATTGGTTGGTGTATCAAATGGGAGACGATACAATACTTTTAACGATTTTCTATATGTTGATATTTTATTGGAATTATTTTTTGAACAAGTTCCCCAAACATTTATTAAATAGTTGATTCGACTCAGTATATAAAAGTAGAGAATGATGTTTGCAATTTCAATATCGAGTTTGGGACATCTTCTCAATGCACCAATAATTGGTCATCAAACCAAGTTCCAAGATATTTTGGTTTAAGAGTTCATTTTTCATTTCAAGGTTGAGGTAAATTTTTTGTTAATTTTTTTGGCGAAGAATCAAATATTCTGTTTTGTTAGTATTTATCTATCAGCTATTTTTTTCGGCAACCGTCTGGGAAGTGCTCACTTTTAGTTTCAGAACGATATTCATAGTCAATATTGAAATATACTGAAAAATAAAAATCAAAAATTCAAACCCGGTGCCCTGTATGTAACTGCTAAACGGAGCTCTTTGGTATACATAGGTCAAAGACATAGGTGAGTTTGGTGCAATGTGGCTCAATCATCACACTTTGGTCTCAGGAGTTTATGATATTATTTTGTACAGACCTTCCATATACAGTGTGGTCATTTAAGTGTGCAACATATGGAAATCTTTTCAATGAATTGCACAACCAAAATATAGAAAGTGCAGAAAGTTGGTGCATGTTCGGTAATCATTTAAGGTGCACTTAGAATGGTTGCAAGCCAAACAGCATACAGGGTAGGTCAAAAAATAAATAGATTGCTCAAGAGTAAAGTTCACTTATTTCATGAAATTCAGCAAAATACTATCGAGAAAAGTTGTTAACAATTGAAAGTTATGCCTAAATATCGAAACATGGCCTCCTGAGACATTTTTTAGTTTTTCAATTTTGTTCGTTGATAATTTCCCAATTTGTAATATTTCAAATACAAAATGTTCACATTGAATGGAAGTTTTTGAATATGCATATTATCAATAATGATGTTTTACCTAGTTGAAAATATGGTTTGCGAAATTTTAAAGTTAAGCTGAATATCGTTGCAACAAACATAAAATTTGTGATTGCCCAAAAAAATTAAAATCCAAGTTAATTGCACAAATATGCTTGAATACGACCAAAGGTATGCTCCACTGATTCGATTATGATTAACTTATGAAAGTATTGAGGGTTAATATAAAAAAAATTCAAATTGGGAAATTATTCACAAACAAAATTGAAAAACTGAAATATGTGCTAGGAGGCGATGCTTTGGTATGCAGGCATAACTTTGAATTATAAACAACTTTTCTCAATAACATTTTGTTGAATTTTCTAGAATAAGGGTACTTTGATCTTGAGCAATTTTTATATTTTTTGACCTACCCTGTATGCTGTGTGACTTGCAACCATTCTAAGTGCACCTGAAATGATTACCGCACATGCACCAACTTTCGGCACTATCTGTATTTTGGTTGTGCAATTCATTAAAAAGATTCCCATATGTTGCACACTTAAATGACCACACTGTATATCTGAATTTTGGATTCAATTACATTAACTTTATCGTGAATGATCATTTTACCGATTCTCTAATGGCATCGAATAATGAGCAGGATATTACTTCTACAAATTCATTCATAACAATAGGTATAAGTAGGCCTAGCAACAGTCTGAATGACCTTAATCAGGAAAAAGTTGAATCCCTTTGCCCTCATAAACATATAACAACATATGAGAACATTTATTCTCAAAAAATCAACTATAGACAATTTTATCAATGAAACTGGAGTTTTATTATTGTAGAATGTAGTCCGACTATTTTTGACCCGGTATTTTAGGTTGGGAACTCATCTCAACGTCTCAACGACTGTATAAATAGTTCCATTTTGAGTAATGTAGGTATCTGTTTCAAATGAACACCAAAATATACTCACATGATTATAACTGAAGAATATAGTATTTGTGTTGATACCTATATATTTTTATTCAAATTACTCTTTGGAATGTAATGCAGGCTTGCAATCTGAGAGACGACTGCAGGTAGGAGACTATTTTCTGTCCAAAAATAGAATATGGAGTCTAGTATGATGTAGAGTTTTCGCCGATATTGAAATGTAGCGCCATTGTTATCCAAAACTAAGATATGAATAATGGGCAGAACAACGTCATCAATTCACTGGAAAATGAAATCTACTGTCGGTATTTATCGGTAGTGTCTCTTGGAGCACACGAAATGTAATCCCTATACTGTTCGAAGAACATCGTGGGTACATTTTCCACGATCGTATAAAATGTTTCTGCTTCTTGCATTCTTTCTGCAAAAAGTATTAATTGTTGCCAAAATTCAGTAAGTATGATTGGAGACTGAAAAGTCCCATAATTTCAAAATGATTCTTCTCTTCTTCTTGAGGTTATTGAGAGACCTCAATGAATGTTTCGAGATCACCTTCATTGAAATCTGGAGTCAAATTCAATCTAATAAAAATATGAAAGTCATAAAAACCAATGGCATACAATGATATTAACTGTGAATATCGATAAATCAACCCACTGTGACGCCACTGAAAATATTATTTTAGACGAAGCTCCATGTTACATTCAACGAAACCATACCAAGTTTCATTGAAATTGGTAAATAGTTATTTAACCAACTAGTGTATTAATGAGGGCGATTAATGATCGAGATATTTTAACGTGCGAGCGAAGCGATCGCGTTAATGTTCGAGATCATTAATCGCCTTTCAATATACAAGTTGGTCACAAAATTTTTCCGTCGACTATATTTCTCATTTCTCCTGCAATGAAGAAAACTTGGTTTGCGAATTCATCATTCATCTGGAAACTGCTAAGAATCACCCAGTAGCCTTGTCACTGACATTAGTGACATTTGACATTTGTCGAAATGATCAACATAGAAAATAAATTCCTTGTGTTAGAAAACAGAAATTAAAATCGTGTCAGAAACTTGGAAAGGCGAACCCGTTAACAGAAAATCTTCGATGAAATCCATATTTTCGATTTAAATGCAGATTCCGTAAGTTATAGCATAAACAATGAATGCACGCGGTGTTTGTTTGGTTGCCTATAAAACAATCGTGCATCAATAGACAAATCGTCCATTAATAGGGTTCATTAATGAACGATTTCATATACATTAAACTTAGTCGTTAATACGAGGTCGACGGAAAAAGACATTTGAGTGATGATTAAACAAACGATTTTTCATGGAAATTTTAATACCCTGTATCTCGAAAATGAAGCAAGTTAGGACACATGTTTATGTAAACTTTATTTTCTGAACTATCACAAGAAATCACCACCTGAATTTTGTCGCACTTATACACTAACACCCTGTATAATATAAAGTTGTTGCATTATTACATGAAATTCGAGAATAGCATGAAATATTCCGTCAACGATTGAATTCTAGAAGTTTCCCAATCAAGTACGAGTTCAAGATTAAAAACCTCGATTGCTTTCGTGAATTCGTGTTCAGTTTCTTTTTCCTTCCAGGCTCAAGGGATTTCTCAGCTTAGACGTAGATGTATCTTACTTGGAGATTAATCAGTGTGAAGCTGGAAGCTGGGAAAAAGCCGGTAATGAGATTGCCATGTTCCATGGATCCCATAAATGTCACAATTCCACTACAGAGGTAAGACTTAATTCTAAATCACGCATCCGCCACATAGACTTTCTGACGATACCTAACCTCAAAACATCCCTATTAAAATAGTTATTTATCTAACAAAGGTCGAAACACTGTCTATTATAGTCGAGTCTAAGGCTAGCAATCAGGCAAGACAATGGACATTTTTTAGCCGAGGAGGATATTACATTTTTTCGTCGACCTCAAACACTTATATCCGAATCACGGTCCTATTCACACGTGAAATCTATAAGATTTCGTCAATAATTAATTTGACAACAGCAAATGACAGTTATTGTTCTCAACCCATCATTCTCCGCGCGGACCATCAAGGTTGTCGGTTCGATTTTTATTCCATCTGGAAATATCTTCTCAAAAATTCAGTAGATTTCAATAGATCTGTTTATGATCTATTATATGCTATACAAAGGATAATGAATTAAACCTATTTCCAACAAAATAGAAACAAACAAAACAAACAGTCTCATACAAAAATAATCATATTTCTCATTCCCAATTCGAAAATACTCACAAATATCACAAAATACGGTTACATAAATATACTTGTAAGATTTGAGTATATAAAAAACAGGAACGAATACTAAACATAAACAACAAAAATACAAAACAAATGAAAAAATCGACCGTAAGAAACAAAGTGTTATAACAGAGGTATATAAAAAACTGAATTTGATCCGAATCAGATGAAGTATTGACTTTTTTTGATTTATACATGGTGCTACTTTTAGTTCTCCATATACAGGGTGAGTCATGACTAACAAGCTATAGCCTAATATCGTATTCAGGGAGTCAAGGTGAGTTATATAATAATAATAATAATAATAATAAATGGACTTTATTCATCGATAATTAATAATTTATAAGAACAAGAGATCTACAAATTATAATGATGCTCGATGAAAAGGCGAAGTTCAGCTTGCGCTGTTTTACAACTTAACCATGTAAGGTAATATAAACATATTAATATATGAGTGAATATAATTAAATATACACATACAAGTACATATACGACGATAAAATATCCACATATTCAATACGAATACAAAAAGGAAGCTCACAAACAAAGAAAAAAAAACAAAAAAAAATCAGACAAGGCGTTGTTATCATCCAAAATCTATCCTGCTTTGAGGTATTCTTTCAACCTTTTCTTGAAATTCAGCAATGAGTCGTTTTTGAAGTGATTAGGAAGAGAGTTATACTGCTTGATCGAGTTATACATGAAGCTACGTGTGAAACAAACTGATGAATGCTTTGGAATAATGAAGGTGTCACGGTTACGTGTACTCGATTTACCTTGAGATTTAAAGGTGGTATATCTCTTGTGGATATAATCTGGCGTTTTCATTGTAACAAATTTGTGGGTATTCACGAGGAGGTGTTGCTGCCAAATTTTATCAAGTCTCAACCAACCGGATTCCTCAAATTTAGCAGATATGTGTTCAAACTTACGAATTCCGTATGAAAGACGGATACAATTATTTTGAATTTTTTGTAGACGTTTCACGTCCATTTGTACTATAGCGGGGCCATAAATAATATCACAATATGATAGTCTTGAAAGTATCAGTGCATCACAGAGTTTCAGTTTGAGTTTTGAGGACATGATATCTCTACTCTGATATAGTTGGCGAAGAATATTGTATGAACTCTGACAGAGTGAATTAATATGTTTGTGGAATCTGAGATCAGAATCAAGCCACAAACCCAAATTTTTACTCTCTTTGACAATAGGAATTTCAACTCGATTGAGCTTGATACGAAATAATTCTTCAATTTCCAACCGTTTATGTTTGGGACCAAAGAGGATTGACTGGGACTTCTTAGGATTCAACTTTAAATTATGGGCTGTTGAAATATTCAAGAGGTTCTGTAGATCTTCATTGACAATGTCTACTGCAACATCCCAGTTATGGTACGAAAATGAATAATACAGCTGAGTATCGTCTGCATAATGATGCATAGTACAATGGTTAATAATCTGGTGGAAATCACATATATATAACGAAAACAAAAGAGGTCCAAGTATAGATCCCTGTGGCACTCCAAGATTGACTGGTAAAGCACTCGAGCATTCTCCATTAAGAGATACAATTTGAGATCGATTTTTCAAATAATTTTTCAGTAGCCTAGAGGCTTCCTCACTGAATCCAAAGTATCTCAGCTTGTTACACAGAATATCATGGTCCAATGTATCGAATGCTTTACTGTAGTCCAGGAGCACCATTGAAGTTAGTTCACTTCCATCAGTTGCTTTGAATATATCTTGTGTGATGTTGATAAGAGCTGTAGTAGTGCTATGAGATGCACGGAAACCGGATTGAACATTGGAAATGATGTTATTGTTATACACAAATGCGTCCATTTGATCTTTCAAAATGAGTTCGAATGCTTTAGATAAGATGGGTAGTTTGCTTATCGGTCTCAGCTGAGATAGTTCAGTTGGATTTTCACATTTTTGTAATGGTAGTACAATTGCTTGCTTCCATTCTGATGGAAAATTATTCGTTACTATTATAGAATTGAAAATATGTGTGATGTGATCAATGAGATAGTGTTCAACATAATGTAACATGACGAGTGTAATGCCGTCGAATCCAGCACAGTTACTTTTCACACGATCTAGATATCGTTGTGCTTGATTAGGAGTTATTCTAGAAAAGCCGAACGTTGGCTCATCATTGGGAATATGATTATAACTATCAAGGAGTGTTCTGTGCAGATCTGTTGTAGGTAGATGATCAGTATTTGTGAAATGTTCATTTATGATATCTAGGTTCGATAAATTAGGTGGTAAGTTTGAATTTTTACTTTTATTTTTCAGTATGTCCATTGCCCTCAATGATTTCCATATCGAACTAGGGTTTTTGTTTCTCACGATAAACTCCAAGTAGGCTTTCTTTTCTCGACGAATTGCACCAGTCGTATAATTACGGAGATCTTTGTAACTTGTCCAGTCGATATGAGATTTCGTGACTTTAAATTTTTTCAGAGCTTTGTCCCTCAGTTTGATAATTTCTTTGATATTGTATGTGAGCCAAGGAGAAGGGGGTTTAGTGGTTCTTATACATCTGATTGGGGCATGGACATTGAAGAGATTTAAAATATTGATATTTAAAAATTCAACCATTTCACTGACTGTCTCGAAATCAAAGATATCATTCCAGTTAATAGCGTGAAGATCATGCATAAAATATTCTTCGTTGAACTGCCTGAAATCTCTGTAGCAAACTGTTTTGTATTTATGTGTTATCTTTAATGATTTGATAACGCAAGTGACTGCTAGGTGATCTGAGATACCTAAATCAAGAACTTTAATGGATTGCATATCATCTTTCTCAGAAGTTACCAATATATCTAATAGGGTCTGGCTATTAAGCGTTATTCTAGTAGGCACATCAATGAGCTGAGAGAGATTGAATCTTTGGAGAAAGTTCGAGAACATTTCCACAGAGTTATCAACCGACAGTAAATTAATATTCATATCACCAACTAAGTTCAAGGAATCACAGTTTGTTAACAGATTTGATACTATATCTTCGAGTGCAGTGAGAGAGACGGAGATATTTGCCTTGGGTGGCCGGTATACCACCCCAAACACATTTTGTTTACCAAGTTCTCTAACTGAAATCCAAATATGTTCAAGGAAATCACTAGTTTCTGAAAATATGACCTCAAAGTGGATAGACTGCTTGATATAAAAGCAAACTCCTCCTCCTCTGCCATTCCTGTCTGCTCTAGCAATATTGTAATTTTCAATTTTTACTGTATTTGAGGTAATATGGGAACTGAGCCAAGTTTCCGAAATTCCAATAATATCAATCTCATTACTAATAATGAATTGTTTAAGTTCATCAAATCCAGTAAATAATGATCTTACATTGAGATGAGCAAATTTAAGACATCGAATCATGATGATTTAGAGAGCCAAGTAGATTATTGTATAGATATCAAAAAAGCAACAGATTTCAATGAAGAATAATAATTATAGCCTGCATGCAAATATGTAAGGTGTAAGGTATTTATTTACTGATAATGGGAGCGGATCTTGGGTTTCTCAATTGCTGGCTTGGTTTGTTTCGAGATTTTCTTGATTGTTCCGTTTGATTTTGGAGTAGACTGTGACAAGCTGGGTTTTCTCACAATTATAGGTAGTGTTGATTTTCGTTCAGTACTGCCTGCTGTTAGAACGTAGCCGTTTCTCATGCGCTTGGAGGGGAGCTGCTTTGATTTGTTTTTTGCTTGCTGCTTCAAATACATCCGAGTTGGTTGTTAATTTCTTCTGTTGAATCAGCTTCGGCGTGATATTGATACATCCACTGTAGGTAGCCTCTTCGCTTACAATTTCCTGATCCAATGATTTAGGAACTGTGGGAGTGGTTGGTGCACTATTCACTTCTGATTTATTAGTGCTTGATTCGATTTCCAATAACTGTTCAGCTGTGAATATTTTGTTATCCACATACAGCCGATTCCCCTTTATGAATGATTTAACTTCTGCGTTAACACGATATTTCTTCAAGTGGGTTCTCAAAATTGTATTTTCTTTTCTCTGCTCCAGGGTTAGGTCATTAACGATGCTTATGTTTGTGTGCTTCAATTTCTTACAGTTTCTCAGTATTTCTGTCTTCTTCAGATACGATATCAATTCAATTTTGATGGGGTTATTTCGTGAGTTCTGGAGCTTGTAAAAATTATTTATGTCTGAGATTTGAACATCTATTCCCAATAAATTTTTCAGCTCGCTTCTCAAGTAATCAAAAGAAAGTTCTTCTTGTTCTTGTAACCCGAATATGATGATATTATTTTTCTTAATACACCTCTCTAGTCTTTCGTTTTTCTCTTGGAGTTCTCGATTTTCTTTCTCTAAATGCACAACCCTCTCGTTTATCGACTCAATTTTCATCAGAACCCTAGTTTCGCTAGCTTCAATTGTGTTCCTCAATTCTTTTCTGTTCTTTATAATTTCGTCTTGCAATTGCTTAAAGAATTTGGTGATTGTTTCTGCATCCATATTATAATAGCGAACAGTTCACGTTCACGGTATCCTTTATTCAGTTTATAGCTGGTTATCACTTATCACTTAATCTTCAGTAAGAAAAACGCGTATAGCACTTCTTTTAACGATAGGTCACTGGAACTTATTTATAATATATTGAGGTAATGTGTCCTTCTCATCAACTTAATTCAAAAACTAATTTCGAAATTGTAATCCCTGTATGATTTTACACAAACTTATATAAAATTCGAATTTGATTTTCACTTTCGAGACCTTCAATTCAATGAATATAATGATAATTAATAATAATCATTTATTATATACCATAAATAAAAATGAGATTCCTATGTGTTCAGGTCCACAGTTTAGTCAAATTCCACGGACTACTTTATACTAAAAGATGCCTCGGTAGGTATACCAAACCTGAAACATTTTCCGGAAAAGTTCTAGTACTACTACCATTGGATTCCAGCGTCTGCTTCTGCTTACAAAATGCCATACAAAATGGTAAAATCGTTATATTTTATTTGTTTCAGGCCAAAAATCGAAAAAATAGAAAAGTTACAGATTAAATATGTCCAGAACGTGACAAAGTAGCCTCGTTTTACTAATCAAAATTCCGCCCCAAACTCAAATGATGCCCTGAATTTCTGTTACGAATAGGCACAATATATTTTTTCACATATATATCAACTCGACTTGACTTCCTCTATCCGCCATTAGACTATGGCTGGTTAGTTATGACTCACCCTGTATAGATTGCGGTAACTCCTGAAGATATACCCTATTCGATGAAAAACTTGTTGGATTCGAGATATCAATTCACGTTTTTTTATTTCATGTTAGTGCATATATCGACCAAGTCCGAACATGATTCCATGGATCCGAGGCAAATATCAATGTATTTGTAGACCTGGATATTATTCAGAGTATCACAATGGCATCTTCAATGGTACTCTGGTAGAAGGTGAGTTGATAGATAATTATAATCCAATGCTTATCAGGCTGATTTTGAGTTGTAATCAACAGAATGTAAGAAACAGAATATCGTATGTTCGTTCTACACCTTCTTTGGTTATTATGACCACACCGTTGAGAACATGCATCATTTGGGAAAATAAATATAGATTATTTCACTAAAATTAGTTTTTGTTTTATGAGCAATTTATGAGTGCAAGGCAAAGAGAAACGTAGCCAAGAAGACTGATATTGCGAGTCGAACTCCCAAACAGACTATAAAAGCATGTTTGATTACAACCCCACCTAATTAGTGTGTATTTCCAAAGATTACTGTATCTTCTGTAGTCTATGGTATTTCGATCTATGTTCGAAGCTCAACCCAGAGGGGCATGGGTGCGATAGGTCGGGAGTTCTGATTTTTTGATATGTTGTATCCTTAGAGGTATATTGAAAACCCGGCGCATTATCGACCTCGATAGTGCACCGGAAGCAACGCAAGCGCCGAAAAACCGCAAAATTTTCAACCTTATTTATTTATTCATTTATTTATTGAACAAATAACTTCCAGACAGAATAGGCTCTGGTATAAGGAAGTACATAATTATATACCTATAGGTAAACATATCATCATTCAAAATATATCAACAACTGTAAATTGACAAACAAAGAATAATATTTGTAAAAAAAAATGGCATGATCAATTTTATCCAGTCCGCTCAGAAATAATCAGTTTTTCCACTTCATTTTTGAATATACCTATATTTCTGCAATTTTTTATATTATCAGGTAGTTTATTGAATTCAGTTAAGGCTGAATGAGTGAATCTTTTTTGTCCGATTAGGGAGCTAGCGGCGTCAAGATGAAACCTTGCTCTAGTTTTTTCGAAGTTTCATCATGACAATTGATGTAACAAGTAAAATTAATCATTACTGTTTCTGAAACAGTAAATTTCCCACAATTCGAAATAAAACCTATTTTCAGCAAGCAAATTTTCAGAATTTCAAAAATGTTGAGTTTTCAGATACAATTTGTGAAATTCCACTTTGAAGCAATTCTCTCTCGGCAAAGTTGATCGAAACTAACTCTGAAGATGAAAAATGAAGCTTCAATTTGTAATTCAAGTGTAGTTCTTGTCATGGATAGCTTAGAAATACAGCTATTTGAATTTTGGGTATATTTCCAACAATTAGATAACATGAAATATACAGGGTGTCCCGAAATTACATAGAAAGATTTCAACTACAGAAGAAGGCCCGACATGATGTTTTTTCTTGTAAACAGCGTGTCTCACGTTAAAAGGCCTCCCCTCTATATCTCAGTTATTAGTCATGCGATTCCAACCAAATTTGGTGTGGTATGAATAACCATCAATATGATCAGTTTTTCAGTGATGCACATTGTTTTGGACAGTGCCGTGCGTTTTTATTGAACTAAAAAGGGGTCAATTTTTCATAAAATATGATTTGAGGCATTTTTTTACAGGAAATCTAACCTCAAATTATTGTTCGTCATGCTTTCGTACCTCCATATGCGAAAAATCACCTTTTTCCGAATGAACAGGATTCGCTTCATTTTTTTCATTTTCAGTCTCGAATAAATAGTGCCTTCAAATCAACTAGGAATTTTGGAACGCTCAACGGCTCCGGTAGGTGGAAAATCATGATTTGGAAGAAATAACGAGTTATACTTTTTATGTTGAATTCACCGTTTCCGAGTAAATAATTATGGCGTTCGCAAAAATGCTGTTTAAATGTGCCTGTTTTTCTGAAACCCTCCATGAGCATCTTATGAAAATCCACATATGTGGGTTTGAAACCATGAAGAACAATATTATAAGGTCAGTTTTCCTGTGAGAAAATGCCTAATATGATTTACTAAAAAACTGACCCCTATTCATTTCAATAAAAATGCACGGCACTGTCTAAAATGATGTTTGTCTTTGAAGAACTGGTCATATTGATGATTATTCATACCGATACAAATTTGGTAAAGATCGCACGACTGATAGCTGAGATATAGAGGGGGACGGCCGTTTGAAATGTATATACAGCGTGTCTCACTTCTAATGGAAACACTCCTGTATCTTACGTAATTGTTGGGTAAGGATACTGAAATTTGCTGGAGCGGGAGATATACCAAAAATGCACTCTATGACTAAGTGGGGTCGTCTTCAGTGTTTTACACTGCTCGCCAACAGCCGTGGAACCACCCCAATTTCCGGAAAATGATATTAGAAGTCAAGATAGGTTGAAAATCACTTCGCATTCGGAATCAGGACGCCCTATTCACTAACTATTCAAAGTTTTCCTTGAAAATTTTCAGTTCAGAAAAATGTCATTTTGTCTCACTTCTCACGTCATTATTGGGGTAGGGTTCTGAAATTTGCAGTAGGAAGGGAAAGTCCGAAGATGAAGTCAATTACGTAAGATACAGGGGTGTTTCCGTAAAGTGCGACAAAATTCAATCTTTCAGATCTGAAAATTTTCCAGGAAAAATATAAATAGTTAGTGAATTGGGCTCTCTGATTCCGAATCTGAAGTGATGTTTGACCTATTTTGACTCCTGATATCATTTTCCGGAAATTAGGGTGGTTCCATGACTGTTGGCGAGCAGTGTATATCACTGAAAATGACCTCACTTGGTCATAGAGTACATTTTTGGTATATCTCTCGCTCCAGCAAATTTCAGTATCCTTACCCAACGATTTCGTAAGATACAGGGGTGTTTCCATTAGAAGTGGGTCACACTGTATTCCCGAAACGAGATAACGAAATTTCGTACATGTAGATTTCATTTCATGCCCCATTTTGGATTGTTGAGAATTTTCTGGCATTTTTATCAGGGGTGTGGGAAATAGATGTAGCTAAGGGCATTTCTTTCCCCAACTTTTTTTTCTATGCAATTTTCGTCAGTGTGACCAGGAAATTTTAAAATATCATAATTTTTGCCTAAAAATAATACACTTGTTTAGTTTCGATAGCACTCACCATTTTCGAGATGAATCGATTTTTAAAGTCTGCTGCGTAATAAAAATTGTACTATTTTCTTTATAGGGTAGGTAACTACCATCATATTTTTCAAATTATTATTTTTATTGTTCCTCTGATAGTTTGAGTGAAACATCACAGGTAGATGTTGATAAAGGGGTATTTTCTATCGAAACATAATTTTTGGGAAAATGTGTTACTCTATTATAAGCTCGATTATAAGGAAAAAGCACTATTTTTGCTCAGAAATGTAAAAATGAGATCGTGTTTCGTTGAAAGTAAATATATTTTATATATCGAAGATAAAATGTCAACAAAATTTTTAGGTGTTTACAAATTGAAAACAGCCTGCAATTTACTGAACATTATAAATATTAAATAGCATTTGTAAAAAAATTTCGTTATGTTAATTTGCCGTCAGAGTATCAGCCAATGAACTGGGCACAGATGCCGCCAAAAGTGTGTATTTTGTTTTTGAGGAACATGCTGCCAATATTTATTTGATATGGTGTTTGCTTTAGAAGTAAAGAGGGGTTAGATATATGTGTTAGGCTAAATTCAGGGATTCTTGCAGACCATTATTCGTAAAATACAATATTTTGATTTTACTTTATTATTTGGGATTTTCTGTCCTCGCTCCTATGAAAAAAATATGAATATTATTCCAATATATATGTGGTAGGACATGTCAGATGATTTGCCCTGAAATATCACTGCGTTCAACAAGTTTTTCTATGAGGGAGCCTAAAAGAAAAATTCAATAGCTTGTCAGTGGGACACTTCGTTTGAAAATGATATAATAATAATAATACTCATATTTTTATTTTGTAGAAACGAAAAGAGAAAATCCCAAATAATCGATTGAAATGAATGTAACTCCTCCTCGATTAACCTACAGACAGTATTTCACAATATTTTGACATTTCCTTGCATTTTCATTTCAGAGACGGTATGTTCGATGCAAAAAATATATAAGAATAGAATGTTCCTTCATTCATAATGGTAAAATTGTTATTTATACACCAAGGATATCATTATAACCCAGGGACCCAGATTATATCCCGAGGCTTCAGACGTGGTAATAATATTCTTCACTACCAAGGTGTATATTGAATTTTTTTCACCACTAGCAATACATTTCAATCATTTTAGTTCTGTGAAACTGGAATATGGACTTATTTTCACTATGAAAGCACTTCTTTTAATTAAAATCTAGTAGCCACGACCATGACAGCATATGACAGTCATTTTTGATAAATACCTACTAGATTCGAGTGACATTCTTGCGAATATCGCCATCAGAATAGTGATTTCAGGTTAATTACAACAGAGGTGGCTATGTCTTCATTAACTAGTGGTTCATAATATTACGCAAACTACCTTGGTAGTAAAAACACACTTTACGCCTCGAAAAGGAGTAAATAATAAAAATATTCAATCATCTACCAAATGAGATTGAATGTATTACAGATAACAAAAATTATTATAATTATCATTATCATCATTATTAGTATCGATATACTCATTATTATACAAAATTATCAAGGTATTGTTGTAAAATAATTCGTCCCTCAAAACACGTAGTGACGTATCTCAGAAATATCCAAAATTGAGATACAACGAATACATACTAAACTTTTGATGCATGCCCTTTCGATAGCACGTAGTGGCGTACCTCAATAATGAATAGTTTCCGAGTATTCTGCTATGGTTTACTCAGCGTATCTGGATTTGAATAAATTATTTTCATCACGTCGACTTATGCCACTTTGTGATTTTGTTTCTTAAGTAATATTTTCAAACACATAATGGTAGCGTATCTCAATTTTTCCGTAACTCTGCGGTATTTTGAATCATACCACGAACAAAATGAAGGCGATTCTGTACAGGGTGGCCAACTAAGAATCCAGAGTTCGATACCTCTGTTGTCTTGAGAGATACAAAAAAAAGTTTCGCATTCAAATTGAAGTGATAACCGAGCTTCACATTTCAAAATTTCTTTGAAATACACAGGGTGTTC